TGGACTTAGAGATCCAGCAAACTCATCTCCAGGCTCTCATGACTTTGAATCCTAATTATTCAGCATACCTTTCTTTGGCTTTAGACATGACCTTGCTTCACTCATTGCCATCCAAAATACTTCTGCAAAGCTCCTTTTTCAGATTTCTAAATATCAGTACTTGTGTTGGATTATAAAGCTGTTATTTGGCTAGTTTGTCCATATTCCCTTAAACCTGAGCTGCTGGTCTACATTTTCAAAATCGTTCATAGCTCGTGTACACAATATTTATCATTTTCATTCTCACATCAGTCTGGCTATCACTTTTGAAGTTTTCAAAGGTGGTCCTATTATCTTCTTGAGCCACTCTACCTCTTAACTTAAATTGTAAGATCTTCAAGGCATTCTTTGCACATTTCCTAGGACCGGTGCAGGTGGTTAGTAATTATTTTGTTATAAATACAAATCTGTGATTATTTCTATTGCAGCTCATGTATGTCATCTTTTTTTCCATTTCCAGAAAGCTACTCATGTCTTGGTTATTTAAGGCTCCTGGTCAGTATAGCTCAACTACAAGGCAAGGATTGTAAGAACTGTTTCAATAGCGTAATATCCCAATGGCAAACCTTACAATCTTGTCATTGAGAGAGACAAGACCATCCTGAGGACAGACTAGGATGCATCTCACTCAGGTGGCTCTTGCAAGCAAGTCGGTGCCTCCCTTGCTTGACCCAGGTAGTCTATCTTGAAATGGTTCAGCATTTTTGTGCCCCTGTGTTCCCTAGCCATAAAAGATCATCAGACATCTCATGTTTCTTTATTTTTTTATGTATGTATCTTAACAATAGCATAGGAACTAGCTTCTCATTATTTTTTTTTTACAGATGAAAAATATTGTGAGCCTGAGATTAGGGGCTATGTTCAGCTGCACCAGATTCACAGTCACCAGTCGCAATGAGTGCACACTTAAGCCCCCTGGACTGCTCTTCAGAGACACCTAGATCTTGTTCTTGACAATATACAGATGCTTAAGGAGAGTTTAGGCCACTGAAATACTGCTCTCTGCAATTCCTACAGGATTTATGTACCACGTCAGGAAATATACCTCCAAAGGCCTAGGCAAGAGCCTTACAAATTTCCTCTTCCCTAGCAGAGTTTCTTTTCTTCCCTAGCAGACTTTTACTAACTACTTACATTTTTTTTTGTATCAATAATTTAGACTTAGATTTCTGAGAGAAAAAGATCCATTTTTTTATGAGGAAAAGATCAAAGGTTTTTATTGGACTTTGTCATAAGGACTCAGCTTAATTCTTTCAGACATTCAGAAAGAAGACCCCATATTATTTCTGTGCAACTTTCTCTTAAGCAGAAAAATAAGAAATATGTTAGGTTTACTAATGTAGATTAGCTGCTTTGGACTAGTAATTTCCACAATATTTGCAGCTCAGAATATACATTTGTGTGTGTGTGTATCCTTACATAAAAATGACAGTTTGTCCATATTTAAGGACTAAATCGCAGTGTTGGTGCATATCTGAGGCTGGTATGACACATGTATGAATACAGCAGGTATTACTAAAGCTGACTGTAAATTCAAATGATCTTCACTGGGCCTCTTTTGGTCACTTATTAGTAATTGTTCCCCTTGCAGCTGCTGTTTATACTGATCTTAGTTCCACTTTTTTTTTTTTCCCACTCAGATGTGGCAAGAGCAATTGAATTACTGGAGAAACTGCAAGAATCGGGAGAAGTACCAGTGCACAAGCTACAGTCCCTAAAGAAAGTGCTGCAGAGTGAGTTTTGTACAGCTATCAGAGAGGTATGCGATTGAGACTTTTAGCCATTTCTTAGAATGCCATCCACAGTCCTAAGAGGAGAAGTGGGCTTGCTCTCCAGTGCTGGAGACAGGAGTACCTTGTGTAAAGGAGGATGGATCTGAGATGTGTCTCCAACTGCCTATGTGCAGTTACTGAAAAGCAGAAACAGAACAGTTGCATCAGCAAGCCCTCAAGCCTGCAGCAATTGGCCTTGCTAAGGAGAAGGAGTGATTCACTAGTACTTTGGCATCCTGTTCATGCTGTTTGAGGGTCTGCGCTGACCTGTCCAGTGCTCTGTTGGGATCTGGGGATGGGACAGATTGGGTCAGTGCAAGCTAAAGTACATCTTCTTTGAACTAAGGTGTGTGATATGGGTGGTCTATAAAATCAGTGCCATGAAAGACAAATGATGTGAGCCCTGAAGTGAAGCTGATAAATGAAGCTAATGGGAATCTTACAGTTGAATTCAATGGTCAAGTCCCAGTGGGTCTCACTGCATGTGTCACATTCTTGTCAGATTGCTAAGAACTGTGATCCTTATTCTCCAAGCCATGGCCAGGGAACTTCGTAGCTCTGCCCAACAAGAGATAATAAGTGATGGCTACCTCCTTCCAGACAGGCCTGGACTCCCATCCCCACATACATACAAACAATATCTTTAAAATAGATCATTTTAAAATATTTCTCCGAGTTGATTTTTGGACAGAAGCTGTAAATAAATATAATGTTGTGTCAGATTTTTTGCTAACTAAACTGAATACAGTTAGCCGCCAGACTGAAGTGATTCTAACGCCCTACTGGAAATTCAGTAAGAACTTCTCTTTTGGTTTATTTGTCTAATGCCTGGAGCTAATCCTCCTTCCGTAAAATCAATAGGAAATCTATTGTTACCTCAGTGGTAGCAGGATTGAACAGGATAACTGATGGAACTGGATAACTCGCCACCAGCAGCACATTGATTGAATAGCCCGCTGGGTGAAGGGAAGGAAGAAAGAGCAGACATTAGTTTAATAAGCAGAGTGCAGCACACTCTTTGTTTTATGGAATATATTCTTCAATGTGAGGAACAGAGGGAGGTTTCCACTTAATTAGATGGCAGTTGTGTAGGCTTTTTAAAAGGAATACTGTTCCATCACAATAAATAATGGTACTATGTACCCTGAAAAGCTGATGCTCTGACTAGTCCTTTCATTTAACCAACTAAATGCTTCTTTAATTGACCACAGAGCATTGAAGAGTCATTTTTCTTCAGAGTCTACCACTCAAGTTGTGATGAGGAATTTTCTGTCTCTGCAGTGTCACCAGTGAAATCTTAACAAATGGATGTTCATCTCTGGCAAATATTCTTAGTAGGAGCAAATGCATAGTTTTTAGAAACAGGTACAGAGTCTAGGAAGAGGAGAATGGCTTGGACTCTCAGTCCAGTGAACTGAAAGCAGATCTTGACTATCATTTCAGTGGGCACAGAGTGTTGTGTGAACACATGACAGACAATCTAATTGCTATTACTGTCTTGTAAATAATGGCTGTCACTTTAAGAAGTTTATTATTATTTGTTTAACAAGAGCTGGCTGGTGATGATGAGCATTTAGGTCAGTTGTACCAACTTGTTAAACAGAGAGATTATTAATACCATTCTTGACTGTATACGTAAATATTTTCTTAGAGGCAATTTTCAAATATGTTAGGCTTAATGGCAACATTTAGGGTGGGAAGGAGAATTGCCATATATACACTGCCAGTGCTTAAGGTTGTTCAATATACAGCTCCTCTTTTCTGTTATTTACACTAAGCCCTTGGCAAATATTTAGACTGTAATTTTGTTGTTTCCCTACTAGGAGAGTTGTTTGAAAATTCCAGCAAAACCTTTCTTCCATCTCTTAAAAATCTTTCAGAAAAAGTGGAATTTTTGACCGTGTTAAATTGTTAGACCTCTCCAGGCATTGCAGAAGGTCTGGGAGGATGTCTAAGCTGGGTCATGCCTTTAAGTCAGTGGGATCCATCTTGGGTGGTTTTCATGTGCCCTGGAGTTTATGAGAAGCTGGTGGCTACATTCCTGAGCAATAAAGTCTTTTCTAGAAAGCAGAAGCTGGTCAGAAACTTTCCTGCCATTGCTCTCGCAGTTGTTTATCTTTTTTCTTGGGCACAGGACATAGCAGAGTGAAGCCTAGCTTCTTGTTCCCTTATTTTATTTTATTAGCAGGTGCTAATAGAATAGGAGAAGAGCTGACCCTACAAGAGAAGGCACAGCAGTCAGGTTGGGAGTAATGCTAAAGTTATTTGGAAAACAGGAGCCTTCCTGGAGAAAGCAATGAAGTAGAGAGGGCATCAGGAGTGAGGCTGGTATAAGTGAAATTGGATGAAGAGCAGGCAAATTCTGGAAGGGCCTGCCGCTGCTCTGTGTATGCAGAGGTACAGGTTGACAGTGGGACATGTAAGTTGCATCATGCAAGATCTGAATCTAACTACCATTTATGAGAAAATCACATTAGATGGGTTAAGGCTGTCTCTTGTAGTCCTATAAGTTCCGTAATGGATGAGCTTTCCAAATTATTTTTCTGTTGTAGTCAAAGAATTTATGGACTCTGAACTATTCAGTGAGTTTGATTGTTAGAATATGTCCCAGAGAAATTCAGTTTAGGGCTGTGAGTGCACTGTGAGTGCAGGTGAAATGATCTAAGGCAAAATATGTCCCCTACTCTTGATTAAATGTGACTTGTTCCTTCTGTAACCAGGGATTATTTAACTGTAAAAGCAATAATGTCTTATGATCTATTAGTTTTAAAATCTAATCTAATGTGTTGGAATCTATTAAATGGCTATAATGAATTGTATTAGTGGAAACTTATTTCAAGTTCAAGCCGGGAAAACAATCCTCCCATTGAAATCACCAAGAATATTGTAGGGGTAGAATCTTTTAATAGTGACTAAGTGAATGAAGTCACTTTAAAATAGAAGTATTATGGCGTTTTTCTAAGATGCTGGGTTAGGAAATGGTAATTAAAGGTACTCACTTGATACCACCAGTTGAAGCCTTTTGTAGGGTGCTGGTAAGGCAATTGCATTAACTCTGGAATTAATGGAAGTAGGTGAAGTATAATATGGCCTCAAGATACTTTCTTTTCACTCGAAGCCCCAACCTTCCCTAGTTCTACCACAAATACCAGAAGACAAGTCAACTGAAGTTTGGTCACATTAAAATTTACTTTGAAAGCAGTTTATAGCTGCATGACCAAATGACCCATTTCAAAAGCTCCCTAGGTGCAGACAAATTAATTAGCCTTTTATTTAGACCTGTCCCTTGGCAAAAGATGGGTGATTATCACCCACTACAAAATTAAGTTCTTTCCCTGGTGTGTATTTTTATTATTGGTTCAAAGCTGATGACATATTGTAGTCTTCTGATTGCTGCAGATTACTAAGAAGGATGAAGTGCAAGCTGCTAAAGGGAGTGCATGATTGCACTGCTGAGAGGGTATATTCAGATACAGCATAAAACCAGGCAGCCAGAGTTGATGAAGTGAACCCCTGCTCTGACAATAAGCCTTAAAGTGCTATAGGCAAAGAAGTTAAAATACACAGCTGAGCAAAAGCACACTAAATCATCAACATAGTGTGTGGCATGCCTTTGCAGATTAGGGCAATTTCATTTATTGTTAACATCTGGGGATCAGTGCTGAAATGCCAGGAGAGTAATGATATGGGTTGATAAACCCGTGCATCTTCCGAGGAGGGGAAGTTTTCTTTTAAGCTGATTCTATAAATTCTGTCTTTCTGTATGGTAAACAGTTGTGTAAAATACAGATGTATCAGGCTTTCCTTCTACCATTCTCCGTTTTCCATTTCAAGATTAAATCTATTTTTTTTCTGTGTGCATGTTATTTAAAATAAAATCTGACGGATAAATATCAATAGTGAAATGAATTGCTGTATTACATTTATCAGTATCAAATGTAATCAGGTCAGAAAGTGTGTATAAAAATCTGACATAGCAATCAGAAGCACAAGAATATCCATTACTTTATTCTATTAAATATCAGGTCATAAGCCAGCAGAATTTTTGCAAGATTGGGTCACTGGCAATCATTTCATCATAGAAGAAGCAGTCAACACAAAATATACTACTGTTGTTGCATGAAGTTATTCTGTGGAAAAAATGTACTCTTTCTGAAGATGGTTTGTTTTCTTCTGTAACTTAAAACTTGTATGCTTACTATAAAATCATTTTGTGACTATAAAATTATTTTGTGGTCAGAGCATCTTAAAAATAATGAAGACCACTAGTGGAATTCAGATACAAAAAATGGCATTGGTAGAAGACTGATGACGTCTTGATTCCCATCTGGTTATTTTAGAGATATATTTGATTACAATATGTAATGCTGAGAACATGGTTTTACTATTTGGTAGGAAAGTTTAAGAAGTCTGTATTCTTTCACCATACCTGGTGAGTATATTTAATTAATGGTGGATTATAGGGCATTATTAATGCATGGATTTCCATGCCCTAGCAGTCTCGATTACTAGAATCCCAGTACTGCTAATGCACAGTGTATTATTATCTGGTATTTTCTCAAACTGCCTACGTGTGCTCTATATTATTGACCCTGATATCTGGCTTTTTGAATATTAGAGAGACACATTGAGGTTGCTGGGTGGTGAAAGCTGACTCTAGTGATATTGTGCTTATTAAATTATGATGCATAAATGACAGCAGGAAGCTGGCTGGAACCCATAGCTGTTCACTTCAGACACAAATCCTAATATTTTAATTTAATGCTTTTTAAATGGCTGTACAAAATGTAACAGTCTGGTTATTGGCTGGACTCAGGTGAAACTTCTCATTAATTTCTTCCATTAAAATGATTCATTTAGAATTTTAATGTAGGATTCCAGAAGTGATATAAAAGTGATAATTTTATTGTATTTCAAGAATTGCAAGATCACTTTGTTCAGTTTACGATATAGCGCTCTTCCTCTGGCTCCCAGACCTAGCTTCTCA